GTGAAATTCCAGTACTTGGCGCACTCTTGAGAAAGACGATGAGCGCCTCCCAACATATACCTTTCTACTTCCATTTGTTGTATAGATTTTTTATCACTGAAATGAATTCTATTAAAGGCTCGATTAAACTGATCAACGAAAATAACGAGTCGGTGAAAGGAGTTGATCAATACGTCGACGACATGTTGAAGCAGACGATGGATCACCTCGTGTTGTAGCCTTAACACTGTAATTTATTCAAATGACAATAAAGTTTTCAGATGTATTTTTACTATGAAAAAAATCGATTTGGGTTATACGTGCTGCAGCATGGAAGAACGAGCAGCACTTCAAGCAGTAGCTAGAGCCCAAAGGAATCGAGATGTGGCCTTTTTGTGACTAAAGGTGCGCTCGTTGCAGCGCCCTGGGGCTGCCAATCCTTTCTGAGCTCCGCCTCCGCCTGTGCTCCGCCCCTCAGCAGATCGCTGTTCGATTATCATTCTGATAAGGTATGCCACTTCGAGCGCGTATCCAATTTTTTTCTCATGGAATGCTATATCAATCAAGGTATGATCTCTGGTGGTATGATGGCAGCTATGGTTTAACGAGTGCCGACGACCTCTTAGTTGGTTGCCAACTCGTCCATTATCGGAGGTCAACGGGCAGAGGAAGTGGTCCCATTTTGCGCGTTTTTGACGGATTTCTTTGCTTTTTTCGCTACTAGGGCATTATTCAGCATCTTCACTTCCACTATGAGCACAACAGAATCCTATCGCAATCTCTCGCTTTAAATAAAGTTCCATGTAGAAAATAATCAATTTTTCTATTATACATGTCAAATCCTACATTACGTTGCCCTTACTATAAGGAGATATCTTTCCTCATGGAATCTCAATAAAAGTCATTTACAGGGGAATGAACCAACTTTTAAATTTACTTTTCATCGCGCAGTTCTTTGCTGTGGAGTCGAAGAAGGACAGGTTAGTTTCACATTTTCAAGTGTGAAAATTATTTATAAAAACGCTCTCTTCGCTAAATATTTGTCGAGGTTTCAGTGCTTCAAACAAAGGACCATGCACACTCAACAACGACGGCCTCAAATGCACTAAGAAAGGTGGCGATTTCATTCATTCGTATAGTATTCGGTAGGGTAGTAATTACAGATCAAATTTACTAGAATTGGAATAAGTTTCCTTTTTTTCTTTTTTCTTTTTCTTGCACAGAAATTTTATCGTAATTTCTCGCTTTAATACCACAACTGAATCAAGACGAGGTGTTGTCGAGTAGCTCCTCCTCACCCTTAATTTCCGGTCATATAGCAAAGAGAGGTAACACTAAGTGACATTCCTAAAACTGTCACAGTAGACTATTGGGTGCAGTAGAGATGGTGGCACTGTTTGATATAACAGTCCAGCAATATTCAAGGGAGCGGGTCAGGTAAATTAACCAGGCTGTGCTCCAAACCGACCACGAAAGTGGTAAGTAACATGCTAGTTCATGCGGAACGTGGTAAATAGTTCCCCCTTACCTAACTAACCGAAAATTATATCAGACCAGACGAAGTTGCTAAGCACCGAAAAACCGCCGCGATAGAGCTTGTGTATACTCGTGGAATACAGCAGACCAAGTTTTGAAAGGTTCTTTCCTATTTTCATCTTCGCGATTTGTCGTGTGGCGAAATTCCCAGTGGACCTTGCATCTAAAGGAAGCAGCAACTTCACGAGATGGACAGAACGTCTACGTAGTTGCAGTAGACATGAGATAGGTGTCCAAGTGATGGTGGTGTTGCCTCCCAGAAGTTTGTAATAATACTTCACCAGTCAGATAACAAAATGTTCTCCATTTGGTGTTTCCTTTCGAGCTCACCTTAGTCAATGAACGACATAGCCACATTGTCTCTGCACTGGTCTAAAATGATGGTCCGCTTACTTACCTTTCATAGCCTCTTGCCGAGACAGTTATAATGGCGACCTTCGGTAGCAAACTTGGACAGATGCTCACATGTGTGCTGACAAGGAATGGTCAATTGGTCGGTCCGGCCATTTGTAATGAGGTGTAGTCCGATGCACGCGTCTTGCGACGCTGAGCTCAAATCCGTTTTCGGTTTTTGCCGAACGATTCTCTGAACGAAGTTACGAGGGATTCTTCTCACTGTGGCTATCTCACTGTGGCGCCCTCTACATCCCCCTATCCCACTTGGCTCGCGTAAAAACAGAACGAACGAACAGAACGCATAACAGAATAACCAATTATAAACGCTTTCTGGGCTCGTATGAGCAGCCTTGAAAAAATGCAAAAGTTGCTGCGACAAGGATTCGAACATATGACCTCACCCCTATGAAGCAAGAGCGCTATCCACTAGACCACCATACCCACTGCATAGATGCTCTGCGGCTCTTCTTATGCGAGCCGAGTGGGACAGGGAATGTAGAGGGCGCCACAGTGAGAAGAATCCCTCGTAACTTCGTTCAGAGAATCGTTCGGCAAAAACCGAAAACGGATTTGAGCTCAGCGTCGCAAGACGCGTGCATCGGACTACACCTCATTACAAATGGCCGGACCGACCAATTGACCATTCCTTGTGAGAGTAACATTACCAGGTCGCTTCTAATATTTATTGTGGAACTTATCGATAGCTTGGAGAAGTTGATGATGACATAAAGATGTTCTTGGAGACATTGTGCACCACCTGTTCCAACTTGGCTGAAATTCTATGGTTTCAGTTGGCCTTTGGGTAAAGCGCAAGTAAGAAGGCCCTATA